TTCACACCGGTTGTCAGGAGCCACCTGGCAGCCGCTTTGATATGGTTTCTTCCTTGGGGAGCATCTAGGGAGGGGAAGCAGCCATGGTGCCAGAGGCTGACTTCCAGGAGGCCAGTGGTGCTGTCGGGATCGTGCCGGAAGCACAGTTCCTTCGGTGCCTGGCACGTTCTCCAGAGATTGGACCTGCAGGACTACTGAGGGAGGGAGTGGCTGCCACCGCGGCTGGTCGGTCAGCTGAGCAGCATTGCTGCTGTGGGAGCACACTGACCACCGGGTGGCAGCTCCTGCATTGAGAGGCTTCCCCCTGGTGGTCAGTGTGTGTCATAGCGACCAGTCAACCAGTCATTTGGTTACTTAGGCTTTTATATACTGGTATATAGATGAGTACTGGATTTTGTCAAGTGCTTTTTCTTTGTCTATTGATATGATCAGTATTTTTGTGTGTGTGTGAATTGATTTCAGAGAGGGAGAGGGAGAGAGAGAGAAAGAAACATCAATGAGAGAATCATTGATCAGCTGCCTCCTGCATACCCCACACTGGGGATTGAGCCCACAACCCTGGCCTGTGTCCTGACCAGGAATCAAACTGTGACCTCCTGGTTCATAGGTTGATGCTCAGCAACTGAGCCAGGCTGATCATGTGGTTTTTATCCTTCATTTTGTGTATGTGGTGTCTCACGTTTATTGATTTGTGGATATTGTACCAACCTTGAATCCCCAGAATAAATCCCACCTGATCATGGTGTGTGATCTTTTTAAATATTGCTGGATCCATTATGTTCATCAGGGATATTGCCCTGTAATTTTTGTTCTTTGCAGTGTCTTTATCTGGTTTTGGAATTAGGATCATGCTGGCCTTGTAAAGTGAGCCTGGGAGTCTTCTCTCCTCTTGCATATTTTGGCATAGTTTGTGAAGGATGTGTTAGTTTTTCTTTGAATGTTTGGTAGAATTTATCTGTGAGGCCATCTGGTCCGGGAAGTTTTGTTGGGAGTGTTTTTATTGCTGCTTCAGTTTCACTGGTTGTAATCTGTCTGTTCAGATCCTGCGATTCTTCCTGATTCAGTTTTGGAAGCTTGTATATTCTAGGAGTTTATACATTTTGTCCATTGTCCAATTTTTTGGCATACAGTTGTTTGTAATATTTTCTTTCAATCCTTTGTATTACTTTGGTGTCAGTTGTTACTTCACCTCTTTCATTTCTAATTTATTGCTAAACTCTCTTTTTTATCTTTATGAGTCTGGTTAAAGGTTTGTCAATCTTTTCTATCTTTTCAAAGCACTAGCTCTTGGTTTCATTGATCTTTTGTATTGATTTTTTAGACTCAATTTTATTTATTTCTGCTCTGATCTTTATTATTTTCTTTCTTATACTCACTTTGGGGTTTGTTTGTTCTTTTTCAAGTGTCTTTAAATGTAAAGTTAGATTGTTTGAGACTTTTCTTTCTTTCTTTCTTTTTTTAAATATATTTTATTGATTTTTTACAGAGAGGAAGGGAGAGAGATAGAGAGTCAGAACTATCGATGAGAGAGAAACATTGATTAGCCGCCTCCTGCACATCCCCCACTGGGGATGTGCCCGCAACCCAGGTACATGCCCTTGACCAGAATCGAACCTGGGACCCTTCAGTCCGCAGGCGGACGCTCTATCCACTGAGCCAGACTGGTTTCGGCAAGACTTTTCTTGTTTTTTGAGATAGGCCTGTAATGCTATGGATTTCCCTCTTAGGACTGCTTTCACTGCATCCTATAGATTTTGAGTTGTTTTACCTCATTTTCATTTGTTTCACGGTATCTTTTGATATCTTCTTTGATCTCATTGTTAACCCATTCATTGTTTAGTAATATGTTATTTGGCCTCCATGTCTTTGTGTGTTTTTCAGTTTTTTCTTGAGGTTGATTTCCAGTTTCAGAGAAGATGCTTGATATTATTTTAATATTCTTAAATTATTGATATTTGTTTTGTGTCCTAATATGTGGTTTTTCCTAGAAAATGTTCCATGTGCACTGAAAAGAAGGTATATTCTGCTGTTTTGGGTGAAATGCTCTAAAGATATCAATTAAATCCATCTGATCTAGTGTGCCATTTAAGGCCACTTAATCTAGGCATTTTCTGTCTAGAAGATCTATTCATTGATGTCAACAGGGTGTTAAAATCCCCTACTATGACTGTCCATCTCTCCCTTTATATCCATCAAGATCTGCTTTATATTTAGATGTTCCTCTCTTGAGTACATAAATGTTTATAAGGGTTATAGTATCTTGTTGAATTACTCCCTTTATTGTTATGTAGTATTATTCTTTGTCCTTATTTTTTTAAAATATATTTTATTGATTTTCCACAGAGAGGAAGGGAGAGAGATAGAGAGTTAGAAACATCGATGAGAGAGAAACACCGACCAGCTGCCTCCTGCACATCTCCCACTGGGGTTGCGCCCGCAACCCAGGCACATGCCCTTGACCGGAATCGAACCTGGGACCCTTCAGTCCACAGGCCGACGCTCCATCCACTGAGCCAAACCGGCCTCGGCCTTTGTTTTTTTTAAAGTCTACTTTGTCTAATGTAAGTATTGCTACCTCAGCTTTTTTTTTTTTATTTCCATTTGCATGAAATATCTTTTTCCATCCCTTTACTTTTAATATATATTTTTTATTGATTTTTTACAGAGAGGAAGGGAGAGAGATAGAGAGTAGAAACATCGATCAGCTCCCTCCTGCACATTTCCCACTGGGGATGTGCCCGCAACCCAGGTACATGCCCTTGACCGGAATCGAACCTGGGACCCTTCAGTCCACAGGCCGACGCTCTATCCACTGAGCCAAACCGGTTTCGGCCATCCCTTTACTTTTAGTCTGTGTGTATCTTTTCATTATGAGGGGGGTATCTTGTAGACAGCATATACAGGGTGTCCCAAAAAAGTGTATCCACCTTTTGAATAATTATTTAACCCATTCTAATGGGTTAAATCTGAAAAGAAAGAAACATCAGTTGAGTTATTAGCTGTTGAAGTGTGTGTACATTTTTGGGGAGACCCAGTATATGGTTCATGTTTTCTTATTTGTTCAGCTATCTGTCTTTTATTTAGAGCATTTAAGCCATTTACATTTAAAGTAATTATTGATAGGTACACATTTATTGACATTTTATTCTTTTAATTATATTCCTGTTTTTGTTTTCTTCTCATCTTCTCCCTCCTCCTCCCCTCCTCCTCCTCCTCTTCCTTCCCCTTCTCCTCCTTCTTAAAGAAGGCCCTTTAACAGTTCTTATAATGCTGATTTGGTGGTAATAAACTCCTTTAGCTTTTTCTTGTCTGGGAAGCTGTTTATTTCTCCTTCAATTTTAAAAGGTAACCTTGCTGGGTAAAGTAGTCTTGGTTGTAGGTCCTTGATTTTCACTTTGAATATTTAATGCCAATCCCTTCTGGTCTGAAATGTTTCTGTTGACTTAAATATTGGACACAAAACCATAAAAATCATAGAAGAAAAGATACATAGTAATATCTCAGACATTTCATATAGCAATATTTTTCTGCTATTTCTCCTTGGGCAAGGGAAACAACAGAGAATATAAACAAATGAGACTACACCATACTAAAAAGTTTTCACATAGCAAAGGAAACCATCAACAAAATGAATGGGACAATATATTAACCAATATATCTGATAAGGGGTTAATATCCAAAATTTATAAAGAACTTATAAAACTCAACACCAAAATACCCAAACAATCCAATTAAAAAAAATTGGCAAAGGACCTAAATAAACACTTCTCCAAAAAGGACATGCAGCTGGTCAATAGACATATGAAAAGATACTCAACATCACTAATTGTCAGAGAGATGCAAATTAAAACCACAATGAGGTATCGCCTCACACCTGTCAGAATGACTATCATCAATAAATCAACAAACAACCAGTGTTGGCAAGGATGTGGAGAAAAGGGAACCTTCGTGCACTGTTGGTGGGAATACAGATTGGAGTAGCCACTATGGAGAGCAGTATGGAGTTTCCTCAACCTCTCTGTAAAAAATCAATAAAATATATTTTTTAAAAAATGGAACTGCCTCGTGATCCAGAAATTTCACTTTTGTGGATTTATCCTAAGAAACCCAAAATACTTATTCAGAATAATATATGCATCCCTATGTTCATTGCAGTTTTGTTTACAATAGCCAAAATTTGAAAGCAGCCTAAGTGCCCATCAGCAGATGAGTGAATAAAAAAGCTGTGGGAGCCCTGGCCAGTTTGGCTCAGTGGATAGAGCATTGGCCTGCGGACCAAAAGGTCCCGGTTCGTTTCCAGTCAAGGGCAGGTACCTTGGTTGCAGGCTCCTCCCCAGCCTTGGCCCTGGTCAGGGCTCGTTCAGGAGGCAACCAATCGATGTGTTTCTCTCACATCAATATTTCTCTCTGTCTTTCTCTCTCTTCCACTCTCCCTAAAAATCAATGGAAAAATATCCTCAGGTGAGGATTAACAACAACAAAAAGCTGTGGGACATTTACACATGGAATACTATGCAGCTGTAAAAAAGAAGGATCTGTTACCCTTTGGGACAGCATGGATGGACCTGGAGACTATTGTGCTAAGTGAAATAAGCCAACCTGAGAAAGACAAATATCATATATCTCACTTATTTGTGGAATCTAATGAACAAAACAAATTGACCAACAAAATAATACCCAAGGTTCAGTCGCCGCGGGCTGTGCGAAGCCCGAGGTTGCCACGCGGACACTGCGAACAGGGGCCGGGCGCCGCGGAGAGCATGAGGCTGTGCTGGCTGCCCGTCCTGCTGCTCGCCGCAGAGATGCCTGCAGTGGAAGGCAATTGTGAGAGTAACGAGTTCCAGTGCCAAGATGGGACATGCATCGCCTACAAGTGGGTTTGTGATGGGAGGGCCGAGTGCCAGGACCAGTCTGATGAATCCCAGGAGACATGTAAGTCTGTCACCTGTAAGGTGGAGGGCTTCAGCTGCGGGGGGTGGGGGGGGGGTCGCATCAACTGTTGTATTCCTGAGTTCTGGAGATGTGACGGCCAGATAGACTGCGAGAATGACTCGGACGAGCAAGGCTGCTGTAAGTGTGGCCCCTCACTGGCAGCCCACATGCCAGAATGCCCGTGTGGCCTGATGGGCTTCTGGCTACTATCAGAGCTGGTTCCCCAAGCAGCCTGCCTGGTGTGGATCAGCTGCTCTTCACTCAGCTCCACCTCCTGGGAGTGCATACCAAGGCCCCTCTCTCCCATCGAAGCCCACCTCGGCCTGAAGGTATTGCAGCAAGTAGAATGGCGCCCTCTTAGGGTTATCAGCACACTCGGTGAGGTTGTCCTTGCCACCTGGTATATGCTTCTGTCAGTGAGCCACTATGACCACCATCAGCCATCCCAGGAGGCCAAGCACACAGTAGGTATTCACCCACCAAGATCACTCATCCAACTAACCACTAAGAGGAGGAAAGCTTCACCAAAGAAATGGACTTCTTCAAAGAAACAAGGCCAAGAGTCCTGGAGGGAAATTCACTTTGGAGCTGGGTGTCTGTCTTGGCTCTTTGATTTTATGTATTACTAGAGGCCAGTGCATGAAATTTATGCATGGAGAGGGGGAAGGGGAGTGTCCCTCAGCCCAGCCTGCACCCTCTCCAATCCAATCGGGGGATGTCCAACTGCTTCTCAAAATCTGGGACCGCTGGCTCTTAACCACTAACCTGCCTGCCTGCCTGCCTGCCCTGATTTCCCCTAACTGCTCCCCTGCTGACCTGATCGCCCCTAACTGCCTCTGCCTTGCCCTGCACCTGGGACCCAGGCTTCCCTCCCTCTGACCCGCCGCAGATACCCAGAACCCAGGCCAACTTCGTCTGAGTCAGCCACAGCTGCAGGGGGACCAGGGAGCAGGTGGCTTGTCCCTCTCCCAGGCTGCAGCCCCAGCTGCTGGTGTTTGGGACTGTAGGGCAGGCGGCTTGTCCCTCTCCCGGGCTGCAGCCTGGCTGGTCCCCATTCCTCTCTTTTTTTTTTTATAAATTTTATTGGTTTTTTACAGAGAGGAAGAGAGAGAGATAGAGAGTTAGAAACATTGATGAGAGAGAAACATCGATCAGCTGCCTCCTGCACATCCCCCACTGGGGACATGCCCGCAACCAAGGTACATGCCCTTGACCGGAATCGAACCTGGGACCCTTCAGTCTGCAGACCGACGGTCTATCCACCGAGCCAAACCGGTTTCGGCCCCATTCCTCTCTTGCAAGTTCTTTTGTGCCTGGCTTGTCCCCATTCCTCACTCGCTAGCTCATTTGTGCCTGGTTGGCCCCCATCCCTCTCTCCCCAGTGTTGAGTGTCTAAGCCGTTATGGAGTGATGATGTGCTGGCATGAGGGTGTGATGGCCATTTGCATCTTAGCTCTTTATTATATAGGGTTATTATTGTTTTTTCACTTGTGTAGATTTCTTTTTCAACACCAAAATAATGGAAAAAATAACTAAGATCACATTAACTCCTCAAATTCACAAAACATAAAAGTCCTTAAGAGATTTTTAAAAATATTTTAAAATTGTCTTTTAGGGAGAGAGAGAGAGAGAGAGAGAGAGAGAGAGAGAGAGAGAGAGAAACATCAATGTGAAAGAGAAGCATGGCTTGGCTGCCTCCTGCACATCTCCAACCGGGGATCGATCCTGAAACCCGGGGATGTGCACTGACTGGAATCGAACCTGCAATCTTTCAATGCACAGGACAATGCCCAACCAACTGAGCCACACCATCCAGGGCCTTAAGAGATTAAAAAAAAAATCAACAACAAAATGGCTTACTTGCATTTATTTACCTTAGAAATACACAACTATATATATACATAAGTAACCTTCATTAGTAGTCATCTAATGAAATGACTTCTTGGGGAATATTTTAAAATAAAATGGATAAGTGTTCAAAAAACAATAATAATACCCAAAGTATGGGGGCATGGAACAGACTGACATACCTCATTGTGGGGGTGGGGGACAAGGAAAGATAAATCAAAGAACTTACTTATATGCAAAGCCCCTGGACATGGGCAATAGGGTGGTGAAGACCTGGGGGATGGGTAGAAGCTGGGAGAGGTGGGTAAAGGGAGACGGGGGAAATGGGAGACATCTATAACACTGTCAATTTTTTTTAAAAAATAAAACTGAAGAAAAAAGCAAAATGGAAGTTAATAATCCATGACTCTAGATTAAGAAAAGGGGTATACAAGGATTCTTCTTCCAACTTTTCTAAATATTTAAAGCTGTTTCAAAATAGAGTTAAATATATATGTATAGAAACTAAAACAAGGAAATGGAAATGTCTGCATGGCCATAAAAGAAAAGATTCATATGTAAATAATTCCCAAACTAATATCTATAGAGAGAATCTTCAGGCCAATATTAAGGTATAGTCTTAATTGAAGAGAGATTTGAAGAAATGTAGGGACATGCTACTCTTTGGAGTTTTCTGTGTTTTTGCTTTTTGGAATTTTCTTTTTATTCACACTTTAAAAACTTTATTTATATTAAAAACTCTTGTTTTTGGCCTAACCGGTTTGGCTCAGTGGATAGAGCGTCGGCCTGCGGACTGAAAGGTCCCAGGTTTGATTCCAGTCAAAGGCATGTATCTTGGTTGCAGGCACATTCCCAGTGGGAAGTGTGCAGGAGGCGGCTGATTGATATTTCTCTCTCATCTATGTTTCTAACTCTCTATCCCTCTCCCTTCCTCTCTGTAAAAAATCAATAAAATATATTTAATAAATAAATAAATAAGTAAGTAAAAATAAAAACTCTTGTTTTTAAAAGCATTAACAAGAAAAAGAGAGACAGAACCTAGAGACAGAACCTAGACAGAACATGGCAGGAGAACCTGGATAGAACCTGGTCACAGAACCTGGCTACAGAACCTTGCAACTGAACCTGGCTGGAGAACCTGGCTGAAGAACCTAGCAAGAGAACATGGCTACAGAACCTGGCTGGAGAACCAGGTTGGAGAACCTGGCTGAAGAACCTAGTGACAGAACCTGACTGGAGAACCTAGCGAGAGAACATGGCAAGAGAACCTAGAATGAAACTGGCTGGAGAACATGGCTACAGAACCTGGCTGGAGAACCTAGCGAGAGAACATGGCTATAGAACCTGGCTGGAGACCCTAACCAGAACTTCGCTGGAAATCCTGGCTAGGCTGCTGATCAACTGAACACTGTCTCCATGTCATTCCTTCTTCGCCGACTCCGTTCACACCTTTGGGGACCCCTGGACCTGCTGGGGTTGGACCCCGGCAACAAGTGAAGAAACAAAAAAAATGTGACCAATATTCAAAGGAAAACAGGTGTTCTGCAGTAAAAACTTCATGAACAATGCAAAGGTAGAAATCCTTAGCTCTAAGCGTCTGCTGCAGTATATGAATTCTGGAATAGGTAATTCCTGGATGGGTAACACTGAACCACCCAGTAGGTGACGCAGTGGTAAGCCAGGCTGTTGGAAGCTACAGCTTCCAAGACCAGAAAGTGGTTTCTATTTTCACTCACTAACTGAGTAAAATTTGATTGACTTAAAAAAAAGAAAAACAGAAAAGGTATGGAGCAGAAGACATGCCCCTTAGTAGTGATCAGTGGGAAGGTGCAATTTTTGTTTCTCTGGAATTGAATGTTTAGTGTTTCTATAAACAGAAAAAAAAAAAGACAAAGGTCCCCCAAAGCCCATGGCTGTCCTATTACCCACACCCACCAATACAAAGAGCACCAGCAAAAGAGCAGAGGACAAGAGAAACCAAGAGTGGGCCAGGTGGGAGAACGGGGGCAGTGTCCCCTGTGCAGTATGCTCTTAGGGTCAAAGAACGAAAAGGCTCCTTTTGCCAGAAAAGGAGGGGGAAGAAATGGGAAAACAGAAAAGGGGAGAGAGGGATTTGAATGCATAGAGGAAGAAGGAGAGGCCAATGGGTTGTGCACTTTTCTCCTACCCCATAGCCTTTGAAGTTTTCTTTATAATATTTCAGCATTAAAGAATTTTAGCCCGGACAGGGTTGCTCAGTGGTTGAGCATCGACCTATGAACCAGGAGGTCATTGTTCGATTCCTGGTCAGGGCAAATGCCCAGGATGCAGGCTCGATCCCCAGTGTGGGCATGCAGGAGGCAGCCAATCAATGATTCTCTCTCATTGATGATTTTATCTCTCTCCCTCTCCCTTTCTCAAATGAATAAAAATATATTTAAATTTTTTTTGAAAAAAGTAAAACTTATGAAACACCTAATAGATATAGATATTGCATTAAGAAATGGTGTAAATGACAGTATAAACAATTAAGATTTATATGATGAAGAAACATTTTCTGGAAAAAAATGTTTATTATATGTGACTCCTTTATAATGTTTGAACATGACAAAATTTATGATTCAGTTCTGAATCTAAGTATTGCTTTAAAAATATCAGTAATAATTTCAATGTGGGTCAAAGTTTCTCCAAATTAAAATTACTCTTTTAAATATCTAAAAAGCAATAATTCAAGAAATGTCAATTAGTACTGTTTGAGTGGCTCAGCTGGTTAGTGTTGTCCCAATATACCAAGGTTGCGGGTTTGATCCCCCATTAGGGTACATCTAGGAATCAACCAATGAATACAGAAATAAGTGGAACAATAAAGCAATGTTTCTCTCTCCATCTACCCCCCAAATCAATAAATTTTTTAAAAAGCAAGGTCATTTAATTTAGCATTCCTGGCAATAGAACATACTTCATGAGAAAAATTTTATTATAACAATACAATTAGGGACTCTACCAATTAAAGCAAGAAAAATTAGTTTAATGAAATACATATGTAAGTTATAAATTATATATGACTTTATTACTTATGCAGACATTGCTGGCCCATCTTTAAATTAATTTATCTTGGATATTTTATTGACTTTAAGTCACACAAGAACCATAGCTATGGTTATTGATTTCAGAGAGGAAGGGAGAGGGAGAGAGAGAGAGAAACATCAATGACGAGAGAGAGTCATGGATCGGCTGCCTCCTGCATTGCCGGGAGCCGGCCCATCCTTGCTGTTTCAAGGGACCTGGCACATATGGCATACTGTTCTTAATATATTTGCTCACCTTCTTGGCACACTGTGTTTTAACCAAGGTCACCTCT